AAGAGTTCAGGAGTTTAGGTGGAAGCTGCCTACCAAAATGGACTCACAGACTAACTAATATTTCCGGCTTTTTAAACTTAGCTCTACACCACAGGCTTCCCCCCCGCCCCCCCCCCCCCCCACTTTTTGAGACAGGGTCTCACTCTGCAGTTCAGGCTGGCCTTTAACTCACTTTATAGCCCAGGCTGGTCTTCAACTCACTGCAATCCTCCTGCCTCCGTGTCCTGAGTGCTGGGATTACGGATGTGTGCCACCATGCCTGGCACTACAGGCATTTTTATAATAAAATAAATAAAATATAAAATAAATTGGGGTAGGCAAAGTGAATTATAGAGCAAGACCTTGTCTCTAAATAAGTAAATAAATAAGAGTTGAAGAGCATTTGGTTGCTGAAATAACCATCCTTGTTTTATTTTGTTTTGTTTTGTTTTGAGACAAGATCTCGCTGTGTATTTTAGGTTGGCTTTGAACTCACTTGGAGAAACTAGAAAGGGAAAGGAACTAAGAGTCTCCTCTAGTGCCTCCAGGAGAAATTCAGCCCTCCTGTCACCTTGATGTTACCTCAGGGACCCATTCCAGACTTACGACTTCCAGATCTGTTTAATAATAAATTTGTGTGGCTTTAAGTCACTAAACTGATGGGCCTCTGCTACCGTGCCATAGGAACTGTATACAGAAATTAATCCAGCCTCTTACAGCCCGGGCCTCAATCTTCTACTCTCTATCTACTCTTCTGTCCTTGGCTGGGCGTGGTGGCACACACCTGGGATCTCAGTGGGCAGAAGGATCACTCCCAAGTTCAAGCCCAGCCTGTGCTACACAGTGGGACCCTGTTTCAATCCTCCCCACCCCCCATTAATCCTATTTCTTTGAGGATTTTCATCCAGTTGGTGACAACCTCACAAACTTTTATCTCTGGTCCTTTATGTGTACCTTTTCTGCCAACCCTAACAGATTTTTATTTGCTCACAGGTTCTTAACACAGTCATTTTACCAAACACACGCTTAGATGTTGTGGCCTTAAATTCATGCGTTCAGAATGAAAAAACAAGTGTATGCCACAGTTAATATTATCTAATTTCCTCTGTCCATCACTCAGATAAAATCAAATATTTAACTAGTTCAGGTGATCCTCACTCTATCTGAGAATGCGATCCAACTGTATCTTGATGAAAATGCCATTTATCCCGCAATATATGGAGCACAAGGGAGGCCAACCTCAGTGCCACGGGTCCCTTCACCATTAGAAGTACATCAGGGGTTCTAGATGGGGGAGGATTCTGTTCCTCAGGGAACATCTGAGGACACTTTTTATTATCACACCTACAGGTGTGAGCGAGCTTTTGGCACTGTATAGATAGAGGCCTGGGGTGCTGCTAACCATCCTCCATGCACAGCACAGTCCCCTACAACCAAAAAGTACCTGGCCCCAAATGACATCAGTGCTGAGGCTGAGAAACCGCTGTAGGTGATTCCAAGAATCAGATGTCTCAGCCAGGCGTGGTGGTGCACTCAATCCCAGCACTGGAGAAGCTGAGGCAGGCGGACAGTTGCAAGTTCAAGACCAGCCTGGGCTACCAAGTGAGCCCAAGGTCAGTCTGAACTGCATAGTGAGATCCTGTCTCAAAAAGATTAAAAAAAAAAAAAAAAAAAAAAAGAACAATCAGATGTCTTAAACAAGGGTTTGGGTTGGCTCAGCAACATTTAATTCAATCTCCCAGCTAAAAGAGCCTTGGAGGCTCTTTTGATCATGCAGTTCACAATTCTTTCTTTGTCGTGGACAGTTTCCATTTATGGATTCCGTTTCTGGAGGAACGTCAGGTACAGGCACTGCATTCCACATAGACACACTTGAGTTGCTCTGTTAGAGTCTGCAGAAAGACACAATCAAAAGGAGATAGACAAGTAAGAACACATTTATCAGCGGAACAGGTTCATGCTATTATGAAGGCTGGGAAGTGGCATGATAGGCCATCTGAAAGCGGGAGAGCCAGGGACACCATGGGAAGGCTGGATCCAACTTCAAAGGCTGCACAACCAGGAAAGCTGACAATTACCCCCCCCCCAGTCAGTGGCCAATGGGCTAAATTTGGGGGACCACTGGTGCAAGTCCTAGAGCCCAAAGAGCACAGAAACAGAATCCTGATGTCCAAAGGCAGGGGGAAATCCTGATGTCCTAGCTCTTAGACAGAAAGCAAACTCACCTGTTCTCTCCCTTTTCATTCCATCCACATCTCTAACCTGATGTTACCTGCCCACACTGAAAAGGACAGATCTTCCTTACTCAGCTGACTAATTCAAATGTCAGTCTCTTCTAGAAACACTCTCACAGACATATCCAGAATAATGCCTTACCAGGTATCTAGGTATTCCTTAATCAAGTCAATTTGACACCTAAAAACATTTTTTTTTTTTTTTTGCAAATACCAGGAGCTGATCTCAGGACCTTGCACTTGCCAGGTAGACACTGTGCCAATAAGCTATTATCTTCAGTCCTTGACACCTAAAGTTAACCATCAGTTGCTACGGTCTCCCAAAACATACTCATGAAAACAGCTGCTAGAATACTAAAATTTCAGCCAGGCATGGTGGCTCACGCCTGTAGTCCCAGAACTCAGGAAGCTGAGGCAGGAGGATCACTGTGAGTTCGAGACAAGCCTGGGCTACAAAGTAAGCTCAAGGCCAGCCTGAACTGCATAGTAAGACCCTGTCTCAAAAGGTAAAAATAAATAAATAAATAAAAATTTAAAAAGAATACTAAAATTTTCAGATATAACAAAATCATTCAGAATCTGGTTCATAGCCACTTTGAATCATGCGGTGTTTTGAAGATCCCTTTGGTTCCCAGGTAATACATGTAAGAGCATGCACTGGATTGAAAAACACAATCACTATGTACTCGAGACTGGCTTTGACAATCTGGACGATTATAAACCTGAAGTTAACACTTTTCTGGATCCAGAAACATGGATCCCGGGAGGTAACGCTTCCTTTTCTGCTGACAGATTCCTGCACTTACTGCTGTAATTCTAGAAATGAGCTTTCCTGAGGCACATTCAACATTTCTCCTTGAGTTGTTCTTCCGAAATATAAAATTAGCTCATCAGCAAGACTCCACAGAATGATAATATTAGAGACTATTTTCTGCTGCTGTTGGTCTCCAGTGTTGTTATCATTCATGTTTGTTTTGTTTTGTGCAGGGAAGATACTGGGAACTGGACTCAGGACCTCACACTTGCCAGACAGGTGCTGCACCACTGACCTAAATTCCTAGTCCCTTGTTTTTGTTTTGTTAAGGGTATTGGACTCTGGGAAAAGTGAGAGCAGAAGATGTTAGCTCCATCCTTCTTTTTCCACGAATGAATGAGGAGCGGGGCAGCAACACCTTACTTTCCACTGCAGCCACTAGCTAAGTACTACTCCAGCTCCTTCCCTACTAAAGGAATGTTCGGTTCCACTGACAGTGTATTAGTGTCAGATCCCGGTTCACTTTTTTTTTTTTTTTTTTTTTTGGTCTCGGGGATCGAACTCTTGACCTCACGCTTGCAATTCAGGTGCTTATGCCGCTGAGCTATATCCTCGGCCCTCCTGTTTCATTTCTTGTAAATAAAGTACTTTAACAACCAAGTACTGATTGTTTGACAGGCGACCATTGTTGAGTTCTCATTTCCTCCCCTACATTCCATGAATATTTCAATCATTTTAAGCCTATTTATATTATCTAATTTTAAGTTTGACCTCTACTCACTACATGCCAGTATTAACATCGCTTGCCCAATCATGACAATCAACAATACATACTGACTCTGCCAAATCTCCCATAGGGGACAAAACCGCCCCTTTTCAACAGAAGCTGAAGCCCACTGAGGCTGCATCACTTTAAAAAAGGAAATAGAGCTCAGGGATAATCTTTTTGGTCTTAGTTTGTGTGACTTTATACTCTCTTATCTTTTCTAATCTACTTCTCTAATCATTCACTTCTCGTTCCCTTTCTTGTACTTAAATAAATTTTAAGAGTACCAGATGACACAGTCAAGGGTCTTCTGCTTTTACTCTTTGAAGTTATCTAGTTCTGCAGCTTTAAATGGCATCTGTTGATAAGCTCACAACGTGTATCGCGACACATAAAATACTTTCCAAATCAATGAGAACAAGGATAGTATGGTAGAACACTCCATATGAGAGGGAAAGAGCCAATTTCTGTGGGAGGGCTGCCAGGTCTTGTGCAAACTCCACCACGGGCAACTGCCTTCTTTGGTGCCAAGGGCTTTGGCCATACTTGCTTTGTAAACAACCGCAGCAAGCGCGGGATGCCCCTGTGCACTGCAACAAAAATGCCAGTACTCCAAGCAAGACCCGTGGAGACTGGAGGACGAGAGAAAGGCAGTGAAGGCTGTGATACCCCGAGAGACTGAAGCCGGCAGGACCGTGCACTCACAGCACGACACTGGCCGAGTCGCCACGACCCCGGAGCACAAATCTGAGATTCTATGAAACGGGAGAACCGGCCGTGTTCCAGAGCAAGTCCCCAACCAAAATGAGCGTGAACCATTCGGTGGAGCAAGTCCCAGCCTCGGTTTTAACGTACCAATGAGAAACCACGGTGGCCTATTATGCCAACCTCGAGAACCAATGAAACACGGCGACTGTTTCAGGCTGCCTCTCAAACTCTTGTCGGAGAAATCACGCGGGAACAGTTTATTCAAAAAGCGAGCTACGGCTGGAGTGTGGATACTGTATTTTGATTACACAGATGGTGGGGCGGGTTAGAGAAGATTCTGGAAGCAAAGTAGCACTCTATCAACCGCCGCCCGCCAGGGACTCACCAGTCAGTCTACAACCAAGAGCACGACGTGGGGGGTACTACGTACTGCGTGCTGACGTCACACAGCGGGCCCCGCCCTCAGGCCGCCCATATAGCGTAGTCCTGGCGCGCGCGCGCACCATTGTGTGGCTGGACTCGGCCACCGCTGCGGTGTGAGGCGCGTGTTCGGGTTCTCGCCGTCCCCGCACCCGCACCGCGGCTCCTGTTTTGCGGCTCGCCGTTGGACTAGCCTTCGGGACCCTGTTCGCCACGGACATGCCGCGCGTGTACATAGGACGCCTAAGCTACAACGTCCGGGAAAAGGACATCCAACGCTTTTTCAGCGGCTACGGCCGCCTCCTTGAAGTAGACCTCAAAAATGGGTGAGTCCGGCCTGGGCGCCTGCGTGCGCTCCCGGCTCCCCGGCACTGGGGACTGAGTGGCTGTTCGAAACAGAAGGCAGCCAAGGCCGCGGCGCCGCGTGGCAAGGCCTCCAAAATGGCGGCGACCTGGAGCCGCGGGTGCGAGCGGGGTTGCGGGTGCGCGCACGCACTCGCGCCGCCGGCTAACGCGCCCCCGCCGGTGTCTGGCCGGCGTTACCGCCCCCAGATACGGCTTCGTGGAGTTCGAGGACTCCCGCGACGCCGACGATGCCGTTTACGAGCTGAACGGCAAGGAGCTCTGCGGCGAGCGCGTGATCGTGGAGCACGCACGGGGCCCACGTCGCGATCGCGACGGCTACAGCTACGGAAGCCGCAGTGAGTCCCACCCCCGCGCGCTCCGCGTCCTTGGGGCTTGGGGGCGGGGCGCAGGCACTAGGGTGGGCGGGGTGGGGCCTCCCAGCCCGGGCAGGCGGGAGGGGGCCGGGAGTTGTTTCACCCGGGCGTCTCCGGGGCTCGCTACCTTCACGCCTGCCTGGGATGGCCATGGGACAGTGGAGCGCGGGGATTGGGTCTGGGTTTTGTCAGATTTGGAGGGGGTGGTTTCTACTGGGCCCTCTTTAGCACTGTCGTGGGCTCTGCCCACGTTGGAAGCGAGGAGTAGCTGTATTTGTATTCCCTTGCTTTCCTGGCAGTGCATTAGCCAGATGTGTAGAAGTTTGTGGACAGGCTGGGTGGAGGTGGGGGAGCGGAGGGGGCGGGAAGAGGAGGGGCTTGAAGGATAGGCCTTAGAATTACTGAAGTTAGTGGGGGCCAAAATTACTGTTTTAAAGTAATGTGGTATTGTACCACAAAGTAACTAAACGAGCTTTATGCTATATTTGAACTAGTTGGGGCATGTTATTGGGAGGAGGTTGGGGGGATTTTGGCTATGTTAAATGTTTGATGTTGAAATTGTTGCATGTTGAATTCAAACTTTTTAACAAGTCCTTGATGTTTCAATTTGAAAGTGACCAATGGGGCTGAGGCTGTGTCCACTGAGGCTAAGATGACTGCCTTTCCTGATTGGCCTTGGCTTTTCCATACATTGTGTGACCCTTGCCCTATGACCCTTTGGCTGACCTTACCGGAAGCCATGACGACAGCAGCCTTTTGCCATTAGACGCAGGGTGATGGTGAGGATTCCAAGGGTTAGACAAAACTGGTTAATCTGAACTAGGTGACTGTTACCTTGCGTGTTTTGTGGCCAAACCACCACCAAAAACCTCACACTGTGATGTAAGTACTTAGTGTAACTAGTAAACATTTTTGTAAAATGTAGAAATGCATGTAATCAGTTAAGTTTTATATTTTACAATGTTCTGTAAAATAAAACTTAGCGAGGTAAATTGAATAAAGGAGCAGTCACTCTCTAACAGATTGTAGGAGAGGTTTAGTTGGATTTAGTGTGTTTGACTTGCCCTTAATTTAATTTATGGCAAATCACAAATGTATCGAAGGTTTAGCAGTATAATAGCAAAGTCCTACTCCAGTATATGAAAGTTGATATGTTTGTACTAACTTTCAAAACATGCACTCCTATCATTACAAAGCATCTGATTGTTCGCTCCGTGTGATAAAGGTGGTGGAGGTGGATACAGCAGTCGGAGAACCTCTGGCAGAGACAAATATGGACCACCTGTTCGTACAGAATACAGACTTATTGTAGAAAATCTTTCTAGTCGTTGCAGTTGGCAAGATTTAAAGGTATGGACTATACTTTCAAGTAAAATCAATGCTTCAAAAGTAGGTCTTTTAATGTTTTCCTATAAAATCAGTGTATAGATGTTTTTATTTAGATTTCTGGGTCTGACCAGTCTTACTGTTTTAGGATTTCATGCGGCAAGCAGGTGAAGTCACCTATGCAGATGCTCACAAAGAACGCACAAATGAGGGGGTAATTGAATTTCGTTCCTACTCTGACATGAAACGTGCTTTGGATAAACTGGATGGTACTGAAATAAATGGCAGGAATATTAGGCTTATTGAAGATAAGCCACGAGCAAGCCATAGGCGGTCATATTCTGGAAGCAGATCCAGGTAACTTGAAAGATGTGGAGAGGAGGCGAAGAGTACTTGAGTTGTTTTCAGTAGTTTGATTTTAAGGTTTCATTGGGTTTTATCTTACAGATCACGCTCTAGAAGAAGGTCACGGAGTAGGAGTCGCAGGAGCAGCCGCAGTAGATCTCGAAGTATCTCAAAAAGTCGCTCCCGGTAAATCATAAAGTGTTGGGCTTTTTTTTTTTCTCCTGAACACAGCTGTACTCATTTGTGGAGTTTACATGTATGTTGACAAGGTACTGAAATCTGGCCTTTTTGTCCAGATCCAGGTCACGGAGCAAAGGTCGATCTCGTTCTCGATCAAAAGGCAGGAAATCTAGATCAAAGAGCAAATCTAAGCCCAAGTCTGAACGGGGTTCCCATTCACACTCTCGAAGCAGATCTAAGGATGAGTATGAAAAATCCCGAAGCAGGTCTCGGTCTCGATCTCGGTCCCCCAAAGAAAATGGAAAAGGTGATATAAAGTCAAAGTCCAGATCAAGGAGCCAGTCTCGTTCCCATTCACCTGTACCTGTACCACCCTCAAAGGCTCGGTCTGTATCCCCTCCACCAAAAAGAGCTTCGAGATCCCGTTCTAGATCTCGTTCAAGGTCCAGATCAAGTTCCAGAGATTAATCCAGAACTCTGTTCTTTGCACACTATTAGAGAACACTTTCCTACTTGCTTAGGCAGTTACTCTTCCATGTTTGTACTTGGCCTCTTCTGCAAGAGGATCTCCTAAGAACAGGGGCACACAGAAGTTTAATTTGTGGCCAAATTTGATGAAAAAGATGAGGTTCTAAAATGGTGGCATGAAGTTAAAGACCCTCCCCCTTCTTTGTAGAATTAAGATAACTTTTGATTTTATAGCTTTTGAGCTAAAATAACTTTTGTAAAGATTAAGCTCATTTAGATTTTTTTTTTTTAAGTATTTCAGCAGGATCTGCTGCAGGGTTTGTTTTTTGTTTTGTTTGCTTATTTTTAAATTAACCGTTTCAAGCTTTGGATACTTAAGGCTTTAGAGGGAAACCCAATTTTCAATTATGTTAGCTTTTTATAAAGCTTGAGTTATGTAAGTTTTAAATAAAAGTTTGCTACCAAGATGATTGCCTTATTGAATAGGTCACTGTTAAATTCTTTAAATGTTGATATCTGGTATTTGTGAAAACAGTGTAAAACAAGGCAAGCCTCAGACCAGCAATAAATTATTCCGTTTGGATAACATTATTTTGTGCTGTTAATCAAATTTGCCAAAGTCTTTATCTGTCCCTTAACAAGTTGAGTTAAAAATAAAAATTATTTTGTAGTTGGTCTATTACATAACTTTGTTAAATTGATAGATTTTTAAATAATGAAACTTTTCAGGCTTAAATTTTGAACTTTGAAGAGCTCCTAGTGCTTGGGATCTTGTTTAGCTGGCAATCCCATGTTCTGCAAGTGATCGATGTGACTAGTCCTGTTAGGAGTATGGTTTGGTGGTCTTTAACACTTGTTACGTAAAAATGGAAGTAGTCCTACCTAGAAATTTAGTGTATTCCAAGTGGAAAAGCACATAATGCATTTTCTGCTGAAAGATCATTATACTTAACAGAAAGATCATTATGCTTAACAGGCACTTAACAGATTATTTAGTAAGTCAGTTGATAATTAAACTCCCAATATTCAGGTTCCTTAGTAGTTACAATTTGTTTGGCTCATCTTTGTAAATGTTATACTTTCATGTGGTTGATTTAAAAAACAATGAAATGAGTACTTTGTACTTTTTGAATGAAGTATAATGGATACTGTGGAAATCAAATTATACTACAAATTTGTGGGACTTGTTGGGTTACTAACCCATACATCCATTCCTAGGTAGATTGCAGTTCAAGAAATGATTACCTTCTACCCCTTTGGGTACTTCTAAATAATTTCATTTTTAAAAATTAGCTTTAGTCTGAAGTCAAGGTTTAGGTGAATTGGCTTAGGTTTAATAATTTCTAAGACCTATCTTGAATTGTCAGTAAGGCATGATAATTCCTACATTTTTAGATTGATAAATAGGACTACATAATCAGAAGACATCCTAATAAAACAAGGTTGATTGAGAAAAGTGAGCCAAGGATCTAAGTAGATGTCAGTCACAGTAGTTGGAAGTACTTGGTAACATGGAAACCTGGTTTTTAAGAAATTCTTACCTAGGTTTTCTGTTTGAAAAAAAATTTTCAAATCCTAACTTTGGGAATATAGTGCACCATAAAATTGATGCTGCTTCCGTTATTTTTTTCTTTGATGCTTTATGTAGCTGTTTATAAGAAATTGTTTTATTTTTTCAAGATAAATAAGAATATAAGGAGAAGAAGAAATGGTGTCTGTAAGTTTAGTTATTTTGCCTGTTTAAAGATTAGAAATCCATAACTCTTAAAATAGGCCTTGAGCAGTTTTTTTGTTTTCAGAGAAAGACCCGTAAAGGCTTTTTGAGCCACAGCCTTTTAAAAGGAGGCAAGGACCGGGGAATATAACTCAGTGGCAGAAGTGCTTCCCTGCCAAGCACAGGGTCCTGAGTTCAATTCTCGAGATCCAAAAAAAAGGAGGCAAGGGTGATACTACATTGAGATTTGGCTTTCTAAAAGTATCACATCTCATGTGGACTTTGTTACTATGACATCATTTGAGAAGAGGCATACAACTACATCATTAGCTGCCTCAGTAAGTGGTTATTACTTAGGTACATATTTGCATCCATAAATTTTTTAGTAATGGTGAAGACCAGTTATTAAAAATTCTATTCCGAATCTGTAGACCTAAGTTACTGAATGCTTTAAGTCGCTGTATGTATAACATTGGCCTACTTACAAAAACAGTTGACTGATTTAAAGTGCTTCCTTGCTAACTAGTGAGCAGAGTCAGAGAATCAGCAACGTGCCTCACATTTTTGTTCAGTTGCTGGATGCAGTATTGATCATATAGCACAAGGAAGGTGAGGAGCATCGAGAATCCCCTTTCTTTCACTCAGTGTTTTATTGATTTGCCATAGTACCTTTCTGGCCAGTTTGAGTCCTGCCTACTCCAACTTTTTATGTTCCCATTCCTGTGTTACCACCTTTCATCTTGAATCTTCTTTTTTCCACTTTGTTAACCAATTTTACGCATTTACTTCAATAAAGTGCTTACTGAGGGAAAGACTTGTTTTGAATTTATTGTGTATTTCCACTTAGCACCAAGTTCTTAGCCAGTGGGTTTTTGCATAGGGTTGCCATTGGTTGACTGTATCTGTCTTGTATGAGAAAAGAATCTCAAACAACAAGAGTTTGGGATCTTGAGAGTAGCAGATGATTTATTTTGGGCAAATCATTAACACCTATGCTTCATTTTACCCTTTGAAATGGTAAAGATGAAACAGACTATAAAGATTAAAAACTTATAAACTACTTAGAACAGTGCATAATAAATAGCTGCTATTATGAAGGATTAACTACACTAATTTTTTTATTGACTTGTTTTGTTTTCATGTAACATGCACCTGTTTTTACCCTGTAGTAATCATTTTCTAAGCCCCAGCCGACTCCTTAGTTCTGGACCTGGCAGCACTTTTAAAACTGCAGCAGTGGGGCTGGTGGTTTAGCTCAACGGCATAAGCACCTGTCTTGCAAGCAGGCAGTCGTGAGTTCGATCCCTGGTACCGATAAAAATGAAAAAGACAAAAAAAAAAAAAAAAAAAACTGCAGCAGTTTCCATTTCAGTACCTTCATATTTTCATTACTCAACTTTACCATCAACCCGTTTTTCCATCTTCAGTCTTGATGGTTGCATGCAGTTTAGATAACATGATGGCAAAACCTCATGGAGAATTTCATTTTCTCTTAAGGTCTGATTAAACTGCTTATGAAAACATTCTAAGACTGGAGGTCACTCAGTGAACAATTAAAGCACTTACCTAGTGTGCTGTCAGAATTAGACTCCCTAGCACTGCCCCCCTCCCTCAGAATTTACTTACTAAGGTAACCATTGTTAATAGTGTCTGTTCAGATTGCTGTGGTCCTTGTTTTATGTTGTTTTTACACAATAAATGCTAATCCAAAGCCCCAAGTGTTTATTACACTATATTTGATTGGGGTGTTTTTGTTTTTGGATACTCATGACCCTGCATTTGCCAGGTAGGTACTTAACACCACTGAGCTACCCAGCCCTAGAATGAATCTTTTTTGAAAATCAAATTTGTATGAAATAATTTTGGCTCATAGAATAACGCAAAATGTGTTTTCTCCTTTTTTTAGGGTCTTATGTAGATGGGGCTAGCTTCAAACTCTTAAGCAGTACTACTCCTGTCTCAGCTCCCAAGTGCTGGCAACGTGATTTTTTTCCCCACCTCTGGTACAGGGGATCAAACTCAAGACCACATGCTTGCAAGGCAGGTGCTTATGCTGCTGAGCTAAATCCCCAGCCCTGATTTTTAAAATTACTTTGAGCATTCATGAAACTACTTTAGAGCTGTGACGGTATAGCACCTAATGTAATTCAGTTTACATGGTACTTTTTAGATTTTTTTTTTTTTTTTTTTAAGGTAGTGAAAACATCTTGAATAGGATACAATAAGTAGTACCTCAGTTCACCAACTTGCACAATTCTGGTAACAGTTCCTCTTGTTAAAACCTACAGAAATAGACTGAGGATTTAGCTCAGTGGCATAAGCGCCTACATGGCAAGTGTATGGTCAGGAGTTCGATCCTTGGTACCAAAAAAACTACAGAAAATAGGTTAAAATCTTAAAAAAATGATCTCTTAAAGTTATTTTTAGAAATTGTACTATTTCTACCCTTTTTTCTGTTTTGCTTTTTTTTAAAATTAAAATCTTAAAAAGACTTGCTGCATTTGTCACTTGTTTCATACTTAGGGAAGACTTGGCAGGTATAGCACCAAGAACTGTATACTACTACCTTTTTTCTTCCTGACTTGTAGAAAGTAGGTTGGAGATAACTATGTTTTTAGATCCCTAAAATGGTATGCACAGTTTGCCTCTCAGTGTCCACAGGGAATTGGTGCCAAGACGCCTTCCCTCAGATACCAGTTGGATGCTCGGGTCCCTTAAGAAATGTTACTAAATGACATATTTTCATATAAAACCTTACAACATCCCATATACTTCCGATATACCTGATAAACTGTCACAGCACATTGTGTTCCATGATGTACTGCACATACTGTCCCATGAGATTTTATCACTCGAAGCTGCAATCATCTTAGTTTGAGTAAGTATTCTTACATGCCCCTGGTGAAGTCACCTAGCAATGCACTGTTAGAATACTCCAGTTGTTAACACATAATAGTTTTACACTACAAGGAATAAGAACAGGCAGGTGGAAGGCTGATTGCACCACACCAAAGTTGTGTTAAAAGGATATGGCTTAATCAGTCCATATTTACTTTTTGGATTTGTGTGTGTGTGAAGACAGACAGCATCTTACTATATAGTTGAGGCTGCCTTTGAACTCATTGTGCAGCCTAGGTTGTCCTCAAACTCCATGATCCTCTTGTCTCAGATTCTCAAGTGCTGAGGTTACAGGCCACTATGCCCAACAGTATTTAAGCTTTAGCTCAGCATTTTTCATAACCTTGTTTTCAAAGAAGAAAGCCAGGTGAGGTAGTGCACACCTGTAGTCCCAGCCCTCAAGAGACTAAGGCAGGTAGACTGTTGCAAGTTCCAGACCAGCTTGGGCTATAAAGACCTCAAGACCAGCCCGAACTGCATGATGAGATGGTCTCAAAAAGACAGTTATTTCATAAAATTTCTAGCAGTTTGGGTTTCTCATATGACTGAAATAACCCTCAGCATGAGTCTTAATGCATTATATCCAGTGGCCCGTGGCAATAACGTATCACTGTAGTTCCTTTTTCCTTTCATAATGCTTTGTAAAGACATGAGTCTGTTAAATACCTACTTATACAGACACCACCTGTGGATGTTTTCTGGTGTTCTGTACAGTGGTACCTCTGTTCACAAACTTAATTCTGTGATTTTGATTACAAATCAAATTGAGAACTGACTCGATTCAATGATTGGTTAGTTTCGATGTTACCCTTATGAGGAAATGTCATTCAGTTCATCCAGTTCGGTTTGTGACTAGAATCGTGGGAATTAAGTCTGTGCTACTGCTATGTTTGCTGGCATTTTGTAAAGGAAGTGCTTTCCCTTGGGAACATTGCCAAAGAAAAGATTTTGACATCCAGTTGTGGAAATGAGAGAACTTGAAAGTTTGAAGGCATTAGATTGAACCAATTACTCAGACCGAGAGGTCGCTAGTTCAGGGCAAGAGTAGCACTGGGAGGCATTTGTGTAAGAGGAATAAGGAAGAGAAAATAAGCTGCGTCCTCATCTATATAAAACAATGCCTTCTAATGACAGGTGGATGCTGTTATCAAAGTACTTTGCATAGTCACTAGTAGCTGCCTTGTACTGTAACTATAATCGCTAAGCCCTAACACTGTCGGGGCCAACTGACAAAAAAACAAGGTTGCTGAATGTGGTGATGCAATAGTAAAGTATATCTACTGCCCCTATTTCCTATTTTGTATATCTTGAATGGCCTGAAAATACTAAACATTGCTGTTACTCATGGAGGATCAAACACCAGTGGAAAGAGAACAGGATGATGAGCCACCCACACACCTGTCCAGCTTTAACAATATGTGTCTGTCAGCTTCCTCCTCCAGATAATTTTAAAGGAAATCCAAGACATTTCTTCTGTAGGTACATTGGTGTATACCTCTGAAGTCTAAATGTAGTCTTATCTGTTTTTTCTTTGCAGTGTATTTACTAAACAATCCAGGTCACTTTCCTGCCCTTTCAAAGTCTTGATTTTGCTATTTGTAATCTTGTCAGTAGTCTAATTTTGCCCCCTGCACTTCCTATAAATTGATAGAGCATTGGTTTTCAAAAGGAAGAGCCCTGAACCAGCATCTTCATTGCCACCTCAGACTGTTGGAAATGCAGGTAAGCCGGGCATGGTGACTAATGCCTGTAGTCTCACCTATGAGCGACAGAGAAATCACAGATTTGAGCCTAAGCTGGGCAATTAACTTGACAAGATGCTGTCTCAATAATATAAAAGGACTGGTGACTAGGGTGGGACTCCGCAAGGGCCTTGGTTTCAGGTTCCCAGTATCACCAGAAAGGTGAGTTCTCAGGTCCTGTCTTGGACTTACTGACTCAGATACTAGGCAAAGCCCGGCTTCCAGGTAGTTATGGTGCATTCTAAAATTAGAAACTAGTCCAGCTTCTTCAAGTTGGTTTTCCTTTTCAAGACAACTACTTAGGTGTCCTGCTTTGTTATAATGGTAGCCATTGATCTTTGCCTAGATTCATCAAACCATGAATTAATGATTTTTGGGTTTGTTATTTTTTGGTTTTTTGTTCTTGGGGTTTGGTTTGTTTTACGGTACTGGGGATCGAACTCAAGACCTCGTGCTTGCCAGGCAGAATCAATGACTTTAAAAATTTACTTTGCACTATTGTTCTTACTATTGCTGCCTTATTCTGTCTTGTCTTGGCAAGACAACTCAGTTGCTTTCTGAGTTCTTTGGAAACAAAAAGAACCTGTACATTCTCATGCTTTCTGGTATAGTATTTCCAGGATCATCATGTACATTTTCAGCACCAGATCTGAAATTAGCCATTTCTCCAAGGAAATGGTTATTTTTAATTAGAAATTTATTTAGCAACCACAAATCTGGGCCCTTGGGATGCTCATGTTACTTGTTTCATCATGGGCTGTTGAACTAGACAGAGCTGGGAAACCACTCATTGATTCTGCTTCTGACCATACAAATCATGTTACCATCTGATCATCTCCTGTCTTGTCTATGCAGCAGGTTTGAATACCCTGGCCATCTCATTGTCCTATACTGTGGTTTGTGAGTGTCCTTGTAATGTAGGATCTACAGGAGAATACAGCATTCCAAATTCACTCTAACCTCTAAAGCAGAAAATTAGCTGACCTTCTCTGCCCTAATAGAGGCTTCCACAACTGCCTTGTGTGCTATTTCTGGTAAAGAATGAGGGGGTTAAAAAGGAAACACTGCCAGGCATCAAGTCATACCTATAATCAGAGCCACTCACAAGACTGAGGCAGGAGGATCTCTGGTTTGAGACCAACCTGGGAAATGTAGTAAGACCATGCCTTGTC